ACAACATCCGTGCTGGGCTATGCTGATGATCTGGTACTGTTAAGCGAAGACGTTGAAACTATAAAACTAAATACGACAACGTTAATGAAAGCCGGTAAAGAACTAGGACTCGAAATAAACGTGAATAAAACAAAATATATGGTTAGCTGCAAAAATGGCGATACTACTGGTGATATCGATATAGATGGTAATATGTTTGAACAGGTAGATAAATTTAGGTATCTAGGTTCTACGATAACTAGAAAGAACGAAATTGAAGAAGAGATTAAGGTTAGACTGAAGGCGGGGAATGCTTGTTATTTTTCTGTGACAAAACTACTTAGTTCGCGCCTCTTGTCCCGAAACTTAAAAATTAGAATCTATAAAACAATTATCTTGCCTACAGTTCTTTATGGATGCGAAACTTGGCCGCTTACATTAAGGGATGAGCAGCGTCTTAAGGTTTTTGAAAATAAAGTATTGAGTAGAATATTCGGACCGAAGAAGGATGAGTTAACCGGAGAGTTCAGACGGTTACACCGGATTGCGTGAGATGTATCCGGGTAATATAATTGAGGTAATTTCATCGCGGCGAATCAAATGGGCTTGTAAAGTTGTTGGGCTTAGTAACGAGAGAATTCCTAAAAGGTTAATATTTGCTGTGCCGAATGGTAAGCGTCCGAGGGGTAGACCGAAGCGAAGGTGGGAAGATTGCATTAAAGCCGATCTGAAGGGACTGGGTTTGGACGGCGAACGGTGGAGGGAGGTGTGTAACAAGCGATTGGTGGTGTCGGCATCGAACCTTCGGGTTCGCTAAGCCTTATTATTATTATTATTATTATTATTCACATGACCAGAATTCTTTGCTAATATTATCTTAAACAAATCTTTTCCGTTTCTTCTCCGCCAAACCAAGTCACATAGATATGAGTCCATTATAAATAGTCCGTTCCTTACAGATGATTCCTACTTCGTGATAAAACTTAAAATCTCCCCTCTCGTCGTTATTCAAATTAGAGTATAACCTAAATGTGTTATTTTTGTTAATTAAATGAATCTGTTAAAGATGCCTATGCAATAGGACAATAACAAAATTGATTCAAATATAACCGATACTTTTTTATAACAGACTAGTTTTACGCGGCCACGCGTTGCTGTGGCTTAGAGTGGCAAAATGGAAATAAAAGAAAATAGAAAGCATATATGAGTGGATTAATACCAAAGGACATCTGTAATTTTTAGAAAGTTGGGAAACAAATTGGTCTGTAAAATGGCTTCAATTTAAACTAATCCTAATGGGTTTTTTTATGATTCAACTTGAACATTCGTAATCATCTGAGTGAATAAGCCTTTATTCTTCACCATCAAAAACGGTCTGAGTTGAACATATAAAACTAAAATTGATTTTTCTTTGCTTTCTGAAAATGATAGAAATCCGTCCTCTGATATCAAGCCACTCATATATTTTCATATTTAATTTTATTTTTATTTTTTATATTTAATGTATTGTTCAATGTTCAACTATGTGTTGATCATTTTATGGCAAGTAAAAATGGAAATTTTTGCTTAACGTTGCATTTAAATACGTGCGTGGTTTAATATATCTACTATTATAAAATATAAGGTGAAACTATAAATATTTATTAAAAACGCACTATCAGTTAGATGTAAAAAACAACACATGCGGTACTGTTTCAATGTTAAAGATTTCCAAATATAAATCGTGGAAATGCATTGAAATGGCGCTATACCATTTATCATTGCGCTCATTTCGTGTGCATTAGATCTGCCTTCTACTTTCCTCAAAAGATTTCGCATACCCCTTCTAAGATAGTTGATTGCTTGCTTCTTTTTAATAACAACTTGATTAAATATAGAGTTGTAAATATTGTAGTGGAAAAATAAACCATACTCATGAAAGAAATCCTACGGTAAACGACACAACCTTATTCTAACGTAATGTTAGAGAAAAGAATTTATAAATAAAATAAACTGAAATCGATAAAAACTGATTTCTAAAAGCAACATACTCGAGAGTTAAATCTTTTTAAATAATAGCAAATCAAATATTTGAAATGTATCATACTACTTCCAGAATACATTAGGAGAAAAATAAAAAATGAATATGAATAGAAATAGTATATAATAGTATTGACCTACATAAGGAGATTAATATCACTTCTTCATATGATAATTTCAATTAGTGTAGTAATTATAAAATTTCCGATTAATCAATAACAAAAAAGAGAAAGGAAATGGCCTTTTCTGATGAGAAAGCAGAAAATATTTAAAACTCTATAACTCTGCGAAGAATCGACCGATTTCAATGATTTTTTTTTTATTTTGTCCAAAATTGTGTACTTTTTTATTTATCGGCAAATAGAATACTGAATTCATCGTATCATTTTTCAGCTTGTTTTCTGGAAAGTATTTTATACATATAAATTAAAAGGGTTTCAAGGGGAAGACTTTAGGCCAAGTTTCGTTAAAATCGTTAAAGCTGTTTTGGCGCTACAGTTTATAACGAAACATTTTTTTGCAGCTTTGAACAGAAAAACATTTACATTTTTATTTTTTTTTACATCTATAAAATTATTGTAAGACAGAAGTTCTGTGCCAGAAACCTTCCCAGGAGTTTACGGAACAACTTCCCAAAATTTCATGGCGAACGGATGAATGGTTTAGTAATGCATAAAGGACAAACAGATTGATAGACATACATTCATTTATATATAAATATAGATTACTTTTTTGTTCTGTTTAAAAATAATTTAAACCCAGACACCAACCCTTCCATAATAAACGTCAGAACCACCTGAATCCTCTCCTCTCTAACCTTGCTTTCTCTTGTATCCCTGGTAACCCTTTGAGACGTCTGAAAAGAAAATGGCCTCGCGATCTATTATTGTAAATACATTTTTATAAACTCAAGCTTTATCCTTGACGATCTTCATAATCAAAATACCATTGAAATATATTTATAATTCTAGGTTTCTAGAAGGACAAGTGAAGTTAGATGCACTAAGCCCAATCGAGTTCCAAGGACTGCCGATAAAACATAAAAAATAAGAATGAATGAGTGATGCTGGAATCCACAAGTTCTGAGGAAAAATATCGTAGAAAGGGTAATCTACTTGGAAAATCTGGTCACTAAAATTGTTATACAATATGAGAGGTCAAGAAATTATTCAATAGAAATTAAATAAATAAGGAGCGTCCAATCCAATAGGTCCTATCAGGAGCGGGAGCTTTCCTTGGTTTGAAGAATATCCTCCCCCTTCTCTCTAATTATTTTTATTACTTATGATATTTACAACTGTATCAATAAATAAAATAAATTTAGTAAATTTGATAACAGAAAATAATAACATGAAATCGCTTTTCAAAAACTGCCCACTGGCAGCACACTAAAAAAAAAAGATTTATTTACAATAGGAGATTTCGAGGCCATCTTCTTTTCAGACGCCTCGGAGGGTTACCAGGGATAGAAGAGGAAGCAAGGTTAGAGACGATGGTTCTGATGTTTATTATGGAAGGACAGGTATCTAGATTCAAATTATTTTTAAACAGAAAAAAGTATCTGTTATATTAAAGTATCAGTTATATTTGAATAAATATGGTTACTGTTCTATTATATAGGCATCTTTAACACATTCATTTAATTAACAAAAAGCACACATTTAGGTTATACTCTAGTTTGAACAACGACGAGAGGGGAGATTTTAAGTTTTGTCACGAAGTAGGAATCATCTGTAAGGAACGCACTATTTATAATGGACTCATATCTATGTGACTTGGTTTGGCGGAGAAGAAACGGAAAAGATTTGTTTAAGATAATATTAGCAAAGAGTTTGGTCATGTGAATAACATTTAAAAAATAAAAATGTGAATTAAATTAATTATAATTAAAGCTTTCGATATAAAATTTTTTTCAATCACGTGAAATGATAGATTACTTTCCACTTTGAATGACCCGAATGACCCCTCTCTTTCTTGGGATTATCATGTCTCAATATTTCTTTGTTAAATTATATTGCTTATAGTCACACATATTTATTGATCAATTGATTTTATAAAAACAATATTTGTCGATTCTGTTAAACTCCAATTATCCATAAACTTAACTCAGGCCAATATTGTATGGCAATGCTAGCATAATTTAAAAAAATAGTGAATAACCAAAAATGTAATTTCTCAATCTATTTGTGTATTATTTACAAAATTTAAGAAGCAATAAGTACCTCTAGGAAGTATAGTTTGAAAAGAATCGTCAAACGGTACAAATACATTTTTAGGATGTAAAATATAAATTAATTTACTATAATAAAAAATAGTCATTATTTACATTAGTTAATTTATAATGATGAGCTAAATTTATAATGTTCCTTTGTATGCTAAACTAGGGAATCAGTAAAAACACACCTTTTCAGGAGGGCCAAAAATAGTTTTTAACCCTGAGTTCGATCCGTAGATCTTTTGTTCACTTTTATGGACAATTTAATGATATAATTTAAAACAACTTTAGAATACAAAAGGCATCTAAAATCCATAAAACTCAAAAACTAATTTTTCTAGATTCACTACTTCAGCATATCAGGTTCTGAAATTTATACAATACGAAAAACATGACGAAAGTGTGAGTCAAAATGAATCAGAATGAGAAAAAAATAAATCACCAGGATGTAAAATATAAATTAATTTATTACAGTAAAAAAAACATTATTTACATTAGTTAATTTATAATATTGAGCTAAATCTAGAATGTTCCTCGGAATTCGAATCCTCCATGTGTATCCTTGGTCTTGTAGCCTCCTGGATACCTATCCCTGTTGTGCTCGACGTATCCTCCAGCCGAAAACCTGCCAAAGAAACCTGGAGTCCTTTGATCTCCAGGCGTCCTGGGATATCCTGTAGGTGTCGTAGGTTGCAATAATTAATTTATAATGATGAACTAAATCTAGAATGTTCCTCGGACTTCGATTCCTCCATGAGTATCCCTCGTCTTGTAGCCTCCTGGGTACCTATCCCTGTTGTTTTCGAGGTATCCTCATAGGAGAAAACACCATCTTCGATCTCCAGGCGTCCTGGGATATCCTGTAGGTGTCGTGTCGTTCCCCGCCCTGCTGGGTCCTGGAAGCTTCGGTTCTAAATCTGGGGCGGTTGTCTTCGGCTTGGGCGAGGGCCACCAAGCAAGCGGCCAAGAAGGAGATCAAGACCAACTTATTCATTTTCTAAAACGTATATGAAAAAACAATTAACATTTAATGCTATTAAATCTATACATTTTTAGTTTAAATTATAAAAGGGCGGGTGACCGAACGGCTATTTGTAAATAAACGCGTTGTCCAACATCTCCCGATAAAATGAAGCCTAAAATGCGAGAAGTAAAGAAAAAAAAATTGTATTCTACTAATAAAAATTTTAGTATTAATCGATAGAGGTATATCAAAATTTCAATAAATAAAGATATCACAAATATTTATCTTTGTCAAACAAAACAAATATCAGAACTATTTTTTATGAGTCAATGAAGTGTCAAAAATATTTTTTTAGGTTTTTATAACAAATATCATACGTTTCAATGCTCCCTCTTTGATTTTATTACACTTTAAGGATTTAAGCAGTCTCTGTAAACTAAAAAACACCCAAAATGATTAACAAAACAATAAATTTTTTTGTTATTTTGCTTGTCATAAATTAATAGGTTTTTATTTCATTTTTATATGTAATCCCGCTTTTATGGTTTTTATTAATCCAAATTTATTATTCTTACTTTATGAATTTCCTTTTCTTTCTGTATTCACAATATTCAAGACAAATTTAAAATGAAGTTTCCAATCTATAGGAAAAAGATGTATGTAGAGAATATCACATACAGAATGTCAAATGCTGGTTGGGGCGCAAATGCTTTTTCTTAAACAAGGCCATCCCCTAATTTTCATTGCTTTGTGAAACGTCTTTATTTTATTTAATAAAATATTATATATTCTAATTAATATAACTTATTTGGTTAATATTTTATTTTTTAATTATATTTTTATTCGATATGAAATATAATGTTTTTTAATACGAATTCAAGATTCGTAATCAAAGCTGAAAAATATATTAATTCTTGAATTCTATAATATCTATAATTAAAAAAAAAAAATCTAGTTTGATTTTAAGTGAAATGCTATTTAAAATATTTTGGAGGTATATAATGGGAGTTACTTTATATATAAGTTCAAGTTCTATCAATAATTTAAAAAAAAATTACTGAATTGATAGCAAAGTGCATTAGATATACGTGCACAGTTACCTTATTTGGTTGACTTGACGAGATGTGACGCTGGTGGAAGCTGTGAGGTTCTGCCGTCTCCAACCATGCTCCGCTAGATATACCCCAGCCGCTGTAAGCCACAGCGATCCGTTGTTCCTCAAAGCCGAGCTGGGTATTCCTCACTGGGAGGGTCAAGAGTTCATCTAAGATTATTTTCTATTACTGAATCACCCAATAATTTAATAAAAAATAATTCTATTTTATATATATATATAAATTCTAAAGACGTTAAAACAGAAAAAAACTTTTATAAAAACAATATCCAATTATTTATATTCATACATTTGAATATGCATGTAGAATATTGTTCTTAATTGGGGAAAAATAATTTATATAAATTGAAATATTTTTTTTATTGAAAAATATTACAATCTGTCTCTAGGACATTTATAATTGAGTTCACAGATCACATTCATACTCTATGTACAATAAATAAAATAAATTATACAGAAAAATAATATATATACAATAAATAAGAATAAAATAACCTAAAAATAAATAAATAAAAAGAACACATACACACCTATATACAATATATACAATTTGGCGAGAGAACTCCAAACCAGACTTGTTCCTCCAACTGTGGAGAGAAAAGTATGACTCCAGGAGTTCCCTGCACTTCTCTCTCAACCGCGTCACTAGGGCTAAACCCAGTGGAGATTCAGCAAGAGTGCTTTAGCCACATACACTCATGTCGTGAGTGGAGAATCTGGCCATTGCCAGAACTCCAATATTTACAAACTATAAATGATCGCGGGGCCACTGCTGTTTTAACCTCCTTGGAGGATTATATGGATGGGTGGTGCTGGATAGAGATTGTGCAAAGGGATTTGGATGATGGGTAAGGTTCTGGTGGAATTTGGAGAATTTTGCTGGGATAAGGTCTAGGACAAATGATATATTAAGGTCATCTCTTAATATTCGTCTGTCTAAGAGAAAGCCAAGGTACCGGACTGTGTCTGAGAAAGGGAGCTGAATGGAATTAAAGTGTACTGGTGGACAAGAACTGCGAAGGAGGTGAATGATGCTATATCAGGATCTGAGTCGGATGATGGAATGGCGGTGTCATCAGCAAAAGTTGCAAGGAAGGTATCGGGGTGGACAGGGATATCGGCGGTGAAGAGGATGTAAAGGACGGGACCCAATACGCTACCTTGAGGAACATCTGCCTCAATTGGATAGCAATTCGATAATTCAATACCGCAGCAACTCGGAAGGTACGATCTGAGAGGTAGGAACGGAGGACAAGGTATAAGGAGTGAGGAAGGTGGGTTTTCAGCTTGGAAAGAAGCCCGGCGTGCCATACCCGGTCGAAAGCTTGAGCTATGTCCAGAAATGCACCCGAGCAATATTGCTTGCTTTCCAATGCTGCGGGAATATGATCGACCACTCGGAGTTCTTGTTGGACTGTGGAGTGTTGTGAACGAAATCCGAACTGATGGGAAGGAAAATTTTGGGATTCTATAAAGGGTAGGATTCGTTTCAGGAGGATCTTTTCAAAGATTTTTGAGAGAATCGGAAGTAGGCTAATTGGTCTGTAGGACGTTAAGAGGTGTTGGGAGGTTTGCCTGGTATCGGAAACAGGATAATAGTGGAATGTTTCCACAAAAGAGGAAAGTGGGTGGTTCTTAGGATGGCATTATATAAGTAGGTGAGAAATATAACTGCTTTAAGAGGAAGTTGTCAAAGGATTTGAGAGGTAAGGAGGTCGTATCCAGGAGATTTACGGAGAGGAAGTTTTTGTAAGTGATGTTTGACCTCAGAAGGATTAACTGCTTTAGGGGGCAAGGAAAGGGAAATGGGTGATGTAAGGAATTCTTCCACTGTTGTGGGATGGGTGAGGTTGGATTCCGGATGAGAGGTAAATGTTCTGGAGAGGTGTCTGGCGAATTCTTCAGCTTTATCTTCATCAGACGCTGTCCAGGTGCCATCGCTTCGACGGAGGGGATGGGAAATATGATGGGATTTTAGGATTTTGTTGGTGATCTTCCATAGGGAATTGTCATGAACAGAGAGGGAAGAGTAAGGTAGGAGTTGAAGGATTGGGATATAAAGGTGGCCAATTCCTGCTTTAATTGTTTACTGTAAAAATTATAGGAGCGACGATCGATGGTCTAGTACGTTGCCATAATAATGGATTTGGTATGGATTAGATCTATGAGGGGTTGACGTAACTTATTTTTCTTGGGAGTTCTTGAGGAGTGGTTTGGAGAGGAAGCAGTCCAGATTGCTTGTTGGATAGTGGGGTGAAAAGGTGTCAGTCACGACTTTTGATAGTGAAAAGGTCAATTTTATCGGAAAGGATTTGGTGAAAGTGTTTCCAGTTAACTGAGCCTCTGATGAAGGACGGTGGAGAAGACTTAGGAATAGGAGCTCGGGATAATTTGAGTAATAATGGACTATGATATGAGAATAATTCGGCAAGACGGGTAAGGGAATGATTGAGGGGACCTAAGCCACTGTGGATGAAAAAATCAAGAATATCAGGATTGCGGTTAGGATCTGTGAGCCAGTAGGTAGGTGAGTTAGGTGGAAGGATACTGAACCGTTGGGCATCGAGTGCAGATAACAATGTTCTGCCACGAGAGTTTGTGGTTCTAGAACCCCATTGATGGTGTTTGGCGTTTAAATCTCCACTCAGGATGAAATTATGTCCTAAGGAGTTGAGAATTGAACTGAACTGGATATTGGATATGGATCTGTTAGGAGAGCAATATGCTGATGATATGGTGACGGAAAAGGATAAGGTTTTGATTACAATTGCGGTTGATTGTAGGAAATCTAGTGTCGGTAATGGGAGCTGGTGATGAGAAAGTGAGTGATGTACAATAACAGCAGTACTGGCATGTGCTTTACCGTCAGGATATTCAGTACGGTATGTTATGTATTGAGGTATTTTTAAATGATGTTTTCTGGTCAGTCGTGTCTCCGTAATTAGTGCCACGTCGATGTTCTTGTCCAGTAATAAAGCTATCAGTTCGTCAACGTGATTTCTAACACCATTCGCATTTCAAAGGTGAATGGATATGGGTTTTGGGATGTGAGTCATTAAGGATTTATTAAAGGAGGGATGAGGTGAGATACGAGATTTGTGAGGAGTGATATGAGTGGAGTGACTAAGGATTTAAAATCGGTAAGGAAAGATGCCAGCAAACTGGTAAGATCTGTTGCATTTGAAGGAGGAGGGATATGATGAATTTGTTGTTGATGGTTAGGCTTATTCGGATCAATAGGATTTTGAGGTTGGGATTGAGGTTGTTGTTGCAGCAGGGCTTGACAGTTATCGGTTGAGCTCTTACCTTTAAGTAGCTGGGAAAATGATACACCATTGTTTACTATTCTAGAAGGGTCTCTCTCTCTTCTTGGTCTTCCTGCTTCATCTTAAATCCGGTTTTTCTGGTGTCTAGATTTGAGATTCTTGTAGATTTGGCATCCTTTGTAGTTGGCCGGGTGCCCCTCCAGGCATAGTGCACACACTGCAGGATCTTATATCGGTTTTGTACACTCCATTGATTTGTGCTGTTCACCGCATTTCACGCAACGCGGCAGATGGTGACAATAAATCTTAGTGTGGCCATACGCCTGACAATTATGGCTCTGCACTATTTCTCTCTTGGGGTATGGTTTCTCTACTTTCACCATTGTGTAATATAATCTTGTGATATCGTATATTTTCTCAATACCGGGTGATGGCTCCAGATCCACGAAAAATAAAGGTAGCGGTACTTTATTTTTTACTCCAGGCTGCTCCTTATTCTCCTTCAGAACGTTGGTTACTTGAGGTACTTTGAAACCAAGCGCCGCTTGTTCTTCTTTTATCAGTTCAGTTGGGGTTGAGGAGTGTAAATTTCTTATTACTACTCGTAACGACCTCTCCTGCCTAAGCTGGTACGTATGAAAATTCTCATTCGTTTCTGAGAGGTACTTCACTATTATTCGGTAGGTTTCAGTACCTAGTGTTATTTTTGTATCGTTGGTCCTGTTAATACATGAATAACTGCCAGAGCAGATTTTATTTAGTTGGGTGCAGAACAACTGGAAATTTTTGATATTTTTCACAAATATGGGAGGAGGCCTTGGTTCTGTGGGTATTGCTGCAAACTCCATTACTTCTCGGTCATTTTGAAGCACTTGGTAAGGGTTTGGAGTAAAGAAAGGGGATTCTTCGATCGTTTCTTGAGAAGAAGTTCCTGGTTGTGGCAAAGGTTCTGGATCTGAAGTGTTCACTTTTGTTGTTGGAGATGTTTCTCGTAGGCAGCGACGAGTTCTTTGTTTGGGTGGTGAGTTAACTCCGTCTGACCGAGTCCTCTTGGGCACCTTACTGGACATCACTTGGTGAGTATACCGCATATAATAAGAGAAGAAAGAAAGAAAGAAAGGTTAAAAAAAAAAATTATAAAAAAAGAAAAAAATATGTATCAAACAGCAATATAAACTGCTCTGGTGTACATGTGAAATGTACCCAATGAAAAAATCAGAGAGATTCCACTTAAAAATAGGCAAATATTGAGAGACCAGTTGAGAGCACAACCATCCAATCAGCTGATCAGTACTCGTTGTACTCGCTTCGGCGGTACATATACTAAAATTGGAACGATACAGAGAAGATCACTATGAAATAATTAAAATTTTTTTTCCGGTATACTTATACTTATTATATTTAATCATTATTGTTTTCGTTATTATATTTATTTAAAGAATTGTTTGTTTTTTTAAAAGATAAGTAAAGCCGCCATCAAATAAGTTTTTGATTGACAAGAAGAAAAGCTTTATTTTTTATTGATGAAATTGACGAGTATAAATCAAACTGGCTGTGTAAATATGTGCGATAAATATATTTGAAACTAGACAAAAAGGCCGAAACGTTATAATAAAATTTGTTCGCATACAATAATGATTAAAAGAAAAGATTGTGAGAAAAAAAAGGTTTTCATTAAAAACACAATCACATATAAATAAAATAAAATAATTATATTAAACAGATTTTACAAAAAAATATGAATAACCTAAATAAGGATTTTTATCATAGCTATATATTTATTTATTATTCATTAGAGGTCTGTATATTTATTAACTGTTTCTTTAAACTAAGATACATATCCGAAGCAGTTCTTTTGGCTAGACCAAACAATAACCATATTGCTCTGAAGATGATCCACATTATGCTAGCATTGCCATTAGTTATTCCCAAAAAAAAATATTTGTATTATTGAAAATGCATTGTTACTTCCTTAGATACAATATTGGCCTGAGTTAAGTTTATGGATAATTGGAGTTTAACAGAATCGACAAATATTGTTTTTATAAAATCAATTGATCAATAAATATGTGTGACTATATGCAATATAATTTAACAAAGAAATATTGAGACATGATAATCCCAAGAAAGAGAGGGGTCATTTGGGTCATTCAAAGTGGAAAGTAATCTATCATTTCACGTGATTGAAAAAAAGTTTATATCGAAAGCTTTAATTATAATTAATGTAATTCACATTTTTATTTTTTAAATGTTATTCACATGAACAAACTCTTTGCTAATATTGCCTTAAACAAATATTTTCAGATTCTTCTCGGCCAAACCAAGTCACATAGATATGAGTCCATTATAAATAGTGCGTTCCTTACAGATGATTCCTACTTCGTGATAAAACTTAAAATCTCCTCTCTCGTCGTTATTCAAATTAGAGTATAACCTAAATGTGTTATTTTTGTTAATTAAATGAATCTGTTAAAGATGCCTATGTAATAGGACAATAACAATATAGAACGTTTACACACAGAAGAGAACCGTGCAAAAATAAATATAGGTGCTATAAGTCAACAAATTATAAATGAAGCTCAAGTTTTATCCTTGACTAACTTCATAATCAAAATACCATTGAAATATATTTATAATTCTCGGTTTCTAGAAGGACAAGTCAAGTTAGATGCACAAAGCCGAATCGCCAGCTGAGTTCCCAGGACTGCCGATAAACATAGAAAATGAGGATGGATGAGTGACGCCGCAATCCAAAAGTTCTGAGAAAAAATATCGTAGAAATAGTAATCTACTTGGAAAATGTGGTCACTAAAATTTTTATCCAATATGAGAGGTCAAGAAATTATTCAGTAAAAAATAAATAAATAAGGAGCGTCCATTCCAATACGTCCTGTCAGGAGCTTTCCTCGATTTACAGATTAGTCTCCCCCTCCTCTCTAATTATTTTTTTATTTGTGTTATTAACAACTGTATCAATAAATAAAATACATTTATTAAATTTGATAACAGAAAATAAAAACATGAAATCACTTGTTGAGAAACTACCAACTGGTAGCAAAAAATGTATTTACAATAGGAGATCTCGAGGCCATCTTCTTTTCAGACGCCTCAGAGGGTTACCAGGGATAGAAGAGGAAGCAAGGTTAGAGAGGTGAGGATTCAGATAGTTCTGAAGTTTATTATGGAAGGGTTGGTATCTGGATTCAAATTATTTTTAAAAAGAACAAAAAAAGGCATCTCAAATTCATAAAACTCAAAAACTATTTTTGTAGATTCACTACTTCCGCATGTCGGATTCTGAAATTTATACAATACGAAAAACCTGTAGGAAGTTTCGGTCAAAATAAATAAAAATGAGGTAAAAAGAAATCACCAGGACGTAAAATATAAATTAATTTATTACAGTAAAAAAGTATTATTTACATTAGTTAATTTATAATATTGAGCTAAATCTAGAATGTTCCTCGGAATTCGAATCCTCCATGTGTATCCTTGGTCTTGTAGCCTCCTGGGTACCTATCCCTGTTGTGCTCGACGTATCCTCCAGCCGAAAACCTGCCGTCCTTCGATCTCCAGGCGTCCTGGGATATCCTGTAGGTGTCGTGTCGTTCTCCACCCTGCTGGGTTCTGGAGGCTTCGGCTCTAAATCTGGGGCGGTCGTCTTCGGCTTGGGTGAGGGCCACCAAGCAGGCGGCCAAGAAGGAGATCAATACCAACTTGTTCATTTTCTATAAAGTATAAGAAAAAACAATTAACATTTAATGCTATCAAATCTATACGTTTTTAGTTTAAATTATAAAAGGGCGTTTGACCGAACGGTAATTTGTAAATAAACGCGTTGTCCGACATCTCCTGATGAAATGAAGCCTAAAATGCGAGAAGTAAAGAAAAAAAAAATATTGTATTCTACTCATAAAAATATTAGTATTGATTATTTCATGAAAAAAAATAGATAGAGGTATATCAAAATTTCAATAAATAAAGATATCACAAATATTTATCATTGTCAAACAAAAAACTATCACAGCTATTTTTAAGAGTCAATGAAGTGATAAAAATATGTTTTTAGGTTTTTATAACAAATATCATACGTTTCAATGCTCCCTCTTTGATTTTTTACACTTTAAGGATTGAAGCAGTTCCTGCCAAGTAAAAAAAATATTAAAGAAAACAACCAAGGTTTTTGTTATTTTGCTTGTCATAAATTAATACGTTTTCGTTTCATTTTTATTTGTAATACCGCTGTTATGGTTTTTATTAATCGACATTTATTATTCTTATTTTATGAATTTCATTTTCTTTCTGTATTCACAGTATTCAAGAAAAAGTTAAAATGAAGTTTCCGATCTATAGAAAACAGATGTAGAGAATATCACATCAGAATGTCAAATGCCGGTTTTGTCACAAATGTTTCTTCATAAACAATGTCATCCCCGAATTTGCATTGCTTTGTGAAACGTCTTTATTTTATTTAATAAAATATTATATATTCTAATGAATATAACTTATTTGGTTACTATTACTTTTTTAATTTATATTTTTATTCGACAAGAGATATATTTTTATTTAATACAAATTCGAGATTCGTAATCAGAGCTGAAAAATATATTAATCATTTAATTCTATAGCATCTAAAATAAAAATAAAAATTTAAGTTTGATTTTATGTGAAATACTATTTAAAATATTTTGGAGGTATATAAAGGAAGTTATTTTGTATACATTTTCAAGTTCTATCAATAATTTAAAAAAAATTACTAAATTGATAATTGATAATTGCATTAGATATGCGTGCAAAGTTACCTTATTTGGTTGACTTGACGAGATGTGACGCTGGTGGAAGCTGTGAGGTTCTGCCGTCTCCAACCCCGCTCCGCTAGATATACTCCAGCCGCTGTAAACCACAGCGATCCGTTGTTCCCGAAATCCGAGATGGGATTCCCTCAATGGGAGGGTGAGGAGTTCATCTAAGATTATTTATATATATAATTCTGTTATATATATATATATATATATAAATTCTAAAATCGTAAAAAAAAAAATATATATATAAAAGCAATATCCACTTATTTATATTCGGCCATCTGAATAAAATTGTAGAATATTATTCTTAATTGAGGAAAAATAATTTATATAAATTGAAATTATTAAAATTTTTATTTCCGATATACTCATATTTATTATATTTAATCTTTATTTGTTCAAAGAATAATTTTAGATAGTGTACAAAGTAAAATAAGTTTTTCTTGTTTTATAGAAATAAAAGTAAAGCCGCCAACAAATAACTTTTTTATTGACAAAAAGAAAGATTTTATTTTGTATTGATGAAATTGACAAGTATAAATTATACAAATAAAAGTGGCTGTGTAAATATGTGAGATAAATATATTTGAAACTAGCCAAAAAGGCCGAAACGTTATAATAAAATTTGTTCGTATATAATAATGATTTAAATGTAAAATAAAAGATTGTGAGAAAAAAAAAGTTTTTATTAAAAACAAAATCAATCATATATAAATTAAATATAACATGTCAAAATGAAACGAAAAACTTTGAACAAACGACTGAAAATCCATTTTTCCAAATCAAAATTGAAAACCAGACAAAAACTAAATACGTACACTTACCTAATCAAACCCATATGGGCATACGCCTCACAAATTTACGGTTTTGCAAAAATGACACACTTACAAAAACTACAATCATTTCAATCCAAAATTTTAAGACTAATAACAGCAGCTCCCTGGTACGTAAATAACAAAACTTTACATACTTACAACAACCGACTATCGACCAGCACATACGTACTCTCTACTCCCGATCGCGAACATCACAACGGACTTATCAACGACATGGCCACAGCTGACATGCCCATCAGGAGACGACTAAAGAGGAGCTGGATGAGAGGTCTCCTTTCCTAAATTATGAAGTAGACCAAGACCAGGGAGAAGTACTGCTGGGTACTAATCTTCCTCATGCATTAAATGCCAACTTTCTTTACAATGAGATTACAGCTGAATATTGACAATACTATGACAGGTGTGGATAGAAGTATGAAAAGAGTAAAAAATATAATAATTATAATAAATAATTTTCACAAAAAAATATGAATAAAGTAAATAAGGTTTTTTATCATAGATATATATTTATTTATTATTCTTTAGAGGTCTCTATATTTATTAACTATTTCTTTAAACTAAGATACTTATGGGAAGCAGTTCTTGTGGCTAGACCAAACCATAACCACATTGCTCTGAAGATGATCCACATGTTTGGATCAAGCGTCGACAATTCTAACAAAACATACTAGACTGCAACTTCTGACTATTTATCATCCATATAATTTATTATATTATTTTTATTTAGTTATAAGTAAATAAATTTAAACTTAATAATCTTAGAAAGTATAAAAATATTCACTATGTCATCAGAATTTGTGCTATCAACAAAAAAACAACACATTTGTTTTAAAACACAAAGATTTTTGAGAGTACAACATAATCTGATAACCCCACGAGCAATATGAAACTATGGTAAGATATCAATGAAACCGTACACGCACAAATGAACAAAACACATACTCCTAACATGACAAAACCCAATTCATAACTTTACAAATAATGACAAATAAGCAGCAACAAACTTCCCATGAATAATAATTTGTAAAAAAAAAGTATGAGTGTTTGTATAGTTTGTTGTTGTTTATGCATTATTTTAATAACAGTAATACAGTTTTTAAAAATTATATTTTATAACTTATGTAGGTTTTTATTAGATTTTATCCTACTGTAAAAATATCTTTCAGCACAAAAAATAGCAACCACACCACTTTATTATAACACGTGTAAGGCAATGAAACCATAGGCATGTAACAAATATTATAACTTAATGTGTTGTATATACCTTCTTTGAAAATAAAATAATTTTTGATTTGAAAAAAAAGTCCCTATTAAATTAACTGTTTTGTTTATTTTAGTACTCCTCAGAATCATGGACGCTTACAAAGAAACATCAATCAAGGATACAAGCGTCAGAAATCCGATTTCTCCGAAAGATTGAGGGGAAAAGGAGAAGAGACCGAGTACGCAAAACCACCATCAGAACGAACCTCAATATTAAACCTTATTATATATTTTTTTATTCTGGCGTAGGGAGGTCGCGGTCCCATCGCCCGGTCATTGTACCGCAACCAGCCACTGGCTCTCCAGGTTTGGGGAACACTTACACGAACACTCACACACCAAGTACACTTTATACAGCACACTACAACAACTAAACTCTACAGACAAAGGTCACCTACAGTACACACCTTAGGGTCACCTTCCCTAGGTAGCCGCCCCGGATGGGGGAGCTAGTCAGGATGCTCGGAGGAGGCAGCCCCTCTACCTGACTCGGGGGCAGTGGGCTGATAACCCACCCCTCCTAAAGTACCTTATTACGAAACCTCAAAGAGAAGAAGCCGGACTGAATTACGGTAACAGACCCAGGAAACGCCTAAATGACCTAAGAATTGGATTTTGGAACATTTTATCATTACATAGACTAGGAGCACTTCGTGCGCTCCTTGCAGAAGTGGACACAACAGAATTGACATAGCAGCTATCCAA